TATCTTCTGATACTGAAGTTCTATAAAGGAATAAAAAATGAGTCAATGAACGTGATCAATAAAGTGTATCTGAACTTCCAAAAATATTTTGTCAAAATTCGCTAACAAAAGCTTTTAAGGTAACTGAGCAGACACTGAGTAAGAATGAAAATCTTTACTTTTAAAGTGAAAAAGAGAGTAGGAGCAAACAGTGAATACCTGCAGTGGAGGGATGTTATCAGTGGAGTTCTGCAACGATCTGTGCTGAAACCTGTGTTATTTTACAGTACTTATAAATGATCTGGCAAGTAGCTAAGAACTAAGGTGACAGTAATTACAAGGATAGTTATCTGGCATAGCATGGAATTCCAGAAGTACTTTATGAAATCATTCATTGCAGAGGACTTGGTGGTATGATGGATAATATCATGAAACCATTTCTGGTGACAGCCAAAAAACAAACCAACATTGAGAATTATGAGAAAAGCATAGGAAATCAGCAGAAAATAGCCATCCACTGTAATCAGTGCATAGTTCTCTCATAATTCTTGAACCTCAAGCAGCAAAGAGACAACAGAGAAGTATTTTTTGTCGCTCTTGACCTATTGCAGTTACCACAGAGATTGAAATGAGATCTGTAAGAGTCAAGAACAAAACAAGAGTTCTTCATGCAAAAGGAAGCTGAGCTGAGGAACTTGCTGCCAAAGGTGCTGAGGATGCAAAGGGGTTACACGAGTTCAGGGGTGCAATGGACAAGTACCTGAACAGAAACTCTCACCAGGCTACTGAACGGGTGTATTCTGAGCAGTAAACAGCTGGAGACTGAAAAAGCACTGAAAGGACATATTGTATATGCTTGCTCTTCTCTTCCTGAACCAGGTTAATGTTTTAGGCTGGTGACTGACTGGCTTAGAGGAACCCTGACTCAGTACGACTGTTCTATTCAAACACGTGTGCTGAATATTTCAAAATCAAGACAGAGAGAAAGCATTTATCTTCAGTTATAGACAGATTTTTAGAGCACTGCTTTCACCTTCACTTCTCAGACGTGGACTTCCAATAAACCAGCCTGCTTCCTGAATAGAAAAAGGTATAATGAGGGAATATGCTTGAATTCTGATTTTTTCAATTCAGTCTGTAACTCAGCAGGTGGAAAGAAGTCACTTTACACTTCATGTGTTACCCAACAGCATCCATTTCAGACAAGAGGGACTGAATAGAAGTCACAGCATGAAAAGTAGACAAAAGTGAAGGTGATGGGGAAGAAAACAATAGCTCCTGCCTGGACTGTTTAGACTGAAATGCCAGTCTTTGGGAATACCCTATAGTTCCTTGTTCTGCCCATTTCACTTTCACCAGAGATACACAAGTTCACTGTATGCATTGCTGAAGAGGGAAAAGTTCATCTGTAAACTAATGACTTTGATGGGGACCATTAGAATGGAATATTTCAGAAGAAAAATGTTGCTAAGAAGAACCAAAGGAGATGCTATTGTAAAGTTACAAAGCATTTATATAGAGGCACTAGAGGAAAAGGAATCTGTTGATTCAGAAACAAGGACATATTTTTATTTAAACACTCAGCAAGGCCACTCTTTTAGAAAATGATTTTTCTGTTCGGATATTTGAGAATGTCTTAAGAATGTCAATACACAAAAGCAGAAATGCCATTTCTTAGTAAGCAGTCTGTTAGCTTGGTCATAATGTTCTTCCTAGCAAGAAAGAGAAGGCACAAAGGAGGCTTGAATTTCTCAGTCTGTGTCTCAGCAGTTTGTGATCAACCCTGTGCTAACAATTCTGTTTGTAAATCAGCAACAATGGCAAAGAGACACATTAACCACCAGCATGCTTGCTAACTTTGTCAAAACTTGTGAAGTGCGCCTTTGTTACAGGTAGGAAAAAAAACAGTCCCCACTATTTCATGGTCTGAGAGTTGAGGCCAGGTCTGCTGCACACAGCAGAGCTCGACCAGAGCTCAGCTCAGGGCTCCACTGTGTTTGGCATAGCCCCTGAAGCTCCACAATGACCTCCTTTAATGTACTTATTCCAGACATTTTGAAATAAAAGCATGGCTATTGTGTTACAGTCTGCAGCATGAAAGACTTTATATTTCAAGCCCAAAGGTGTGGCAAAAAGAGCATGGGGAATACCTGCAGGTCCCCGGTCTGCCAGAAGAACTTTGGAGAAATATGAAGACTAGAAAGAACCCAAGCTGATTCAGCCTTGTTGGCAGTGCCTACCAGGAGCTGTATTTAGCACACAGCTGGGATCCTGGAGAGTGCCTATGACAAATGGACATCTGGGGTACATCCTATGAGACTGCTTCCTCATCGTTTTAATTTAAGAAATTGAATGCAGCCATTGGTGAGCTCTGCTACGTCCTTGTATAGCCCCAGGATACTTTGCAGGTCTGCTGTGACTTTTGCCTGAGTTTCTCAGACTCCTGAGACTACCAGAAATCAGAAAGGTGAGTGACACCCCTGTCTGATTATTTGACCAATGTCAATAGAGTGACCCTTACTATAAAATTCATGTCTGAAAGAAATTGATAATTTGAACTGCAGATACAACTTCATGTCTATAAGCTCCTCCATCATGATCATCTTCATGATCACCTTTGATGATCTTTCTCAGGCTTATGGAAGGTCTAAGATCCCTCTATGAAGCAAATGGGAAGAATAAATTGAATACATCATGTCCAGAGTACAAAGCTCTTTGTTATGTTGTCCTTCTAATTCTCAGCCTGACTTAGAAAACTAAGATGTATAACGCCATGGATCAGCCTAGAACTTTGGCCTGTCATGCATTGTCTGTGAAATTCTTTTTCCCTTTTACTATTTCTTAGTGCTGCAGCAGATGAATGAGTGGATGTATTATGTGTATATATGTGTCTGTCATCCTCAGTGTGTCTGCTTCTGTCCTTGACTTACTTTTCTTCTTTCTTCATGTTTCTTTTCTCCTCCTTTTTACAATATCTCAGTTCTAGTTAGACCCTCTCTGTTCAACGCTTCTTTTATTCCTAAAACACTCATAATGCTATTCAGAGAATATCTGTACAGAAGGAATAGACAGAATACAAACAGAGTGCTTACCACTGTGTAAATGATGTGCTCCCTGAGATATTTTCATGCACTGCACGCACTGTTGTCCTTCACTTAAATTATGAAATAAAGAGAAATATATCTACCTTCCTTTTGAATTCTTGAAATAAGTTTGAGCAATTATCACAGTATATTTGTCTTGTTAGGCTGGAATCAGTAAAAAAAGGGCTAGAAACAACAAAGACAGACTGAATAGGAAATGCAAATATATCAGGTTCTTCAGGAACTGACAACAGAAGCAGGCTTTTATGGAGAATATATTACCAAATAAAAGCCAGAAATTCTCCTAACTTACCAGTATGAATGTCAAGATTCTTGAGAATATTTTACACATATTAGAAAGTATTTTAATTTTGGATATTATAATCAGTGATTATATAACATTAAGCTATCTGCCAAATCACTCAGACCACAAACACTCAGCTCCTATTCTCACAGGTGGAAGGCACTGTCTAAGCCAACAGGACTTCACTGGCTCAAGGGTGAGAAAAGCAGCCACAATGACTGACTGGTTGTAAGACAAGATAAGCAAACAAGTTGGGAATAAAACCTTTCTTTTCTCTCATCCCTACCAGAATTCAATTTTAGGGATTTACTCAGAGCATCACAGAAACCTCATTTCATGACTGCAAACAGGTTTTTCCACTGTGGCAGGACTGGATCAGTTGAGAGGGGAGAGATCAATTATTTTTTGAATTATTGAAATTATTAAATTATAAATATAAATTATATATATAAAATTAATTATTTAAATCATATTTTTTACAGCACTCTACTGACTTAGTGTACACAGCAGGCTGCAAATGCATTTCACCTTGTAACTTGATATATTGTCTGTTCCATCCTCCACTTTAGTACAAGGAGGACATGGATAAACTGGAGTGAGCGCAGTGGAGGCCATCACATCAGTCAGGGGCAGGAGCACTCGCTCTGTGAAAGGGCCTGGGCAAGCTGGGCTTGTTCACCCTGGAGAGTAAGTGGCATTCAAGGGGATCGAACGGCTTCTGCAGCAGCTACTGGGTGGCTGCCACAAAAATGGAGCCAGATTTTTTTCCCATGGTGCCAGATGGGAGGATGAGAGACAACGAATGTAACAAGTTGAAATAAGACAAGTTCAGACCGGGTAAAGCTCTGACTGAGCCCTGAGCAACCTGGTCCGACCTTGCAGCCTTGCTTTGACAGGAGGTTGGGCTGGACACCTCCTGGGTCCATTCCACCAAGTCATCCTAAGATCCTATCTCCTATCTCTGTCCAAGATCAGAGCTGGTCCTTCAAAATGTGCAATAAGGCACAGAAGGGGCACAGACTTCTTTTAATGAATGTGTAGTTCTAACACTTAGCACAGAAAATCAACAACTCTATTTTTGACAAGCTTTCACTCACAAGAAGAAGGAAGACATAATCACATGAGCATCATTGTGACCAGTGAAACAGTCATTTCCTTGAGTGGAAAGAACTACAGAATTATCCTACCTCCCTGAGTATGGAGTCACACCGCCATTCCAACTATGCATTTTTTCTCCTTGTGGTAGCACAGCCAGAAGAACTTAGTACTGTATGATTAGCTGCCAAGTTACAGCCTGTAGAAAAGCTGTCAAAGCTTCCCTTAAACTTCAGTATTGTTCAAAATGTTCACTGGAAACACCATTCACTAACACAATACAAACAGAATGCAGGATGATATCCTTCTCCCTTGAGAAGTCTATACAATGCCTAAGAAAGCACACTGCATTAATGAAGTATGAATTGAAAGATTTATTATTATTTTTTATATATAATCCATATAGAAAGTCCAAGACCTCTGACAAAACTTTCATGAACCAATTTCTGATGCGTGCAACATTTCTATCTGTGGAAGGAGTCTAGAAATAACTTGCTTCATTTTAAGGTTACTAATTTAAAAATGCAAAATTAAATTACCTGTTGCCATGGACATGAGAAGCACAGAATGCAAAGCTGTAGTGGAGTAAGGTTGGATCAATGACAGAACCACTTTCTGAATGTTCAATCAACTCATTAAGATAGCAAAGATGGCGGTGACAACCTCTCACTCCATAGCGAGCACAGTATTCATCTAATACGAAGACCTGGCCTGGGCTAAACCAACCCTGAAAGAAAAAGGCAAAAAGAAAAACCACACACGTTGAGATTTGTTTTACCACTCACAGCTTTTAAATCAAACACAGAACAGAAAAACGTATTTTTGTGTGTGTTACACAGAATTTTTATAGTAGAATGATTTATAGCTGACTAATGTTTATAGCACTGGAAGCTGGATCCAACAATAAGGCTCTTGCTGAAAGGACTAACTGTCAGGAAACCACTTGCTGTTCTGAGTTATCATCACCAGGAAATGCATAGTTAACAAAAACAAGATAAACACATCCATAGTCTGCTGTGGATTTGATTATATCAAAACCTTTCTACCTGATACAAAATTAATTAACCCTATAAAATTATCAGTTTTATTACATTGTGAGCTGTGTGAGAACATTTGGGTATCAGTGAGATACAGCAATATCACTGATTAAAATACAGTTTCTGGACAATCAGTTCCCTATGGCTGTAACTTTAATCTGAGTGAAGAAATACAGTTTGACCATTTTCCTCATTCCTTAGAGAACATGCATGTACTTTTAAGAGCTTTTAAACAATCAGTATAAAAAATACAAAGCCAGGTAGTTTGTTGAAAGAGATTTTATTAAGAGAAATATTATTAATATACCAATAGTAAACGGTAATTAGATATGCTGGGGAACTATACAGGTGGCTCTGAAAGTAATGCCTCCCATTTATTTCCATGGAAATGACAACAGAAACAAGGAGTACAATAACACTACTTGATAGAGCAAATTCTCAGCTACTAAGCGCTGTTTTTCAACATTCACCACCATTAGCTGTGCATTTTCACCAGCAATGATCAAGAGTCTACATCCTGCACTCCTAAAAATCTGTATGGCTGCTCAGAACATGTCTTGTCATTTATGTCACTGCCTCCACACCCTTGCTTCACATGTTCTATGTCAGACGCCATTTGTCAGACTGCCCTTTTGCTGCCATCTATTGCATGGCAACACAATGTAATGGAATACTGGTGGGAAGCTTCAATCTCTACTACCATATCACCAACATCTGCCACTGAAGTCGTGGCCCAACATCACAAAATAGGAGGTATTACTTTTGGAGCAGGGCTCCTATTTTGACAGAAGGATAATTTGGGCACAGGCTTGGTACAGTATGAGCCTAGCACAGACATGAACAATGTACAGGCACTTTTGCTTCACTAAAACAGGTATTGAGGGAATAAGTAGAGTGTAAAAAAAAAGATTCATCTTGTGGAAATGGAATACAGAAGAGCCCTGATTGCTTTGCCTTCCAATATGAGAAAAGATGCAATAGTGATCTTCCAAGAAGCAGCAAGGAGAAAAACATAAAGCTAGGAAAACCATCGCCACTGCACAGTCATCTTAAACAGCTGTTTTTCTCTGCTCTTTTCTTAATTGTGGTGCCATTTCTATCTTATCATCCTTTCCAAATGATTGAGGACAGAGGAACACCTATACTCAAATGTACAAATGATTTGGATAAGCAAAACAATTTTGCAAGTCATAAATTTGTGACACCAATTTAGGAGATGAAGACCATATCTCTCTACTGCTTGTGAATACCTCTGTAAACTCTTTATGTTTAATTTTTACAGAAAATATCAGCAAAAATACCACAGGAAACTATATTTAAAATACACTTGCATCGAGTTAAGACTGTCTGCACTGTAACTTCACTAAAGGAGTTGCATGAGAACGAACTCTAAATTTTATATTCTCTCACAACTCCTGAATTAAACACACAAAGCAAACCAGAACATCTCAATCCTACTTCAGAAAGCTGTTTCCTCCCGAGTCACATAATTAAAGTCAATTTGTCCATTGCCTTTAAAGAGCTTCAGCTGCTTCTAGAGAGAACATGTAGCTTAATTACAGCACCTACAGCAGTATTCAGTATTTTAAACTAATCTACTCATGTAGCAATGGCTTATGTAATTTACATGTATGTTCACTGGAAAATAATGGTATTCTGCTGAAAGAAGAAAGGGGATTTCAACTGAATTTCTGTAGTAATATGTCTTATCCCTACATACAGTAAATAGAGGTAACTGTGATTGATATTCTGCCATCTGCTGATCTCTCACCAAATCTTTATGCAAAACATGACACAATGCTACATTGATGCCAACTTCTGACAATTCAAAAGCAAATGATTCTTTGTTAAAATTTCTTGTGTTCTCATAGCAGAAAATTCTGACTGGGACACAAATTTTTCAAGAACTTATTAACTTCAGATTCTGTATGAGAGCTGCTTTAATGTGTTCATTTTCATAGTAATATGGACCTTCCTCGCCCTTGTCCAGCCCCACACCACGTGAAGCAGTCACAAACTGGTAATTATATCCTTCAGTTATTAGATAACTGTGTGCTTTTTATTTATTGTATCATTCCAAAAGAGTAGGCAGAAAAAACCCTCTTAGCTCCCCACTACCTAAAGAATATAAAATTAAAGAAGTTTAGGTCAGCTCACAGTTTAATATAGGGCTTAATATTCATTTTAAACATTTCTATCTTTTATTTTTAGAAATTGCATGTGTGATTGCTCCATATTTTCTTGCAATAAAAGCACACACAATGTCTAAAAATGAAAAGAAATGAGCCGTACAGGAAAAAATCACCAGGCTTCTATGTTCAAACATTCTATTGCTACCTTAACATTCTCGATTTTATAATTTAAAAAGATACAGTTAAATGTGCAATTTAACAAAAAAATGATCACCCATTCTACTCATTAAAAGCCGAATTTAAAAATGAACAATAAGAAATGCATCTGCTTTATGGTTGCTATAGCACTGCGTATTTCATATAACCTCTTCTAAAAGTTCCTGATTTCAAGGTTATATTAAGTGTCTTACTATATTATTATTGTAAAAAAAGATTTTGACCCCAATGCACTGTTAGAAAGCTAACCATTTTCTCTTTGAGTGCCAATTACTTTGTACAGATGTACCTTCAGGCCTCTTCTTTGATTCAGTGTGCAACCCACAGACAGAAAATGAGTCCTTTAACTTTTTCTATACATACTTATCTGGCAGTGTTTTAAAAAGGAAATAACTGTCATCAAATAATCTTTTTTTTTTTTTCTTTTTTACACTTGAAAACAAATCTAAAAAACCCATCATTATCTTATAATACATGACAAGACAGAAGAATATAAGTAAAAGAGATAAAGTTATTTTTTTGTTTCTGTTGGGATGGTAAAGTGAAAAGAAAAAAAAGAAGTACGTTATGAAACATTTTAGGTCCTCAATAAGAGATTAGGATATCAGACTGCACCTGGTGACAAACAAAGCCTCCAGAAGTTACAAGGTCAAATGAAGACATGTAACAAATGTGTGTGTAACATGACAGACGCCCATAAAATTGCTGCTGTTTTTCCTGGCTGAACATGAAACCAGGAACAGCTCTGTCCTCAACTCCTAACCCCACAAAACAGAAAGTGCTTCAAAGTGAAGGGAAACTGCAGCTATAAATACAGAAACATGCTACATCTGTATCTTCTCTCTTACGGGTGACTTTGAATGTGAAAAAATGTTCATTTTGGTACAGAGATTCCTCTTTACTTGTTTTTGTTCAATAATTACGTATTCCACACTATTTTGTTCTATAATTACAATTTTTGGGGGCGTCTCAGGTAACACACACTTGTCCACATATCTGTACTGATTGCCAAAGGTTCTGCTTCCTTTCTTTCGGTGTTTTCTGTTCTTCACACCCTAGCACAGTGTAGAATTACAAGGTGGATGAAAATGTCTGTCATCAGGTAACCACATTAGTACCTTAAAATGCCTGCACAGGTGTCAGCAAATCCTACTGCAGGGGCTGTGACCGTCATTAAAAGCTTCTGTTCTTATTCAGACCTCCACAGACGACATGATAAATTTCAGCTGATAAAATCAGAGACAGTTTGGGTCTCTGCTTTCTATTGAGTGGCACAGCAGCAGTTTGCAAGTGTATAATTTTCAAATCTGAAAGCAATCGATTGGACCCTTTATTCCAACTACAACCACAGGTATTGAATGAACAAAGAAGAAAGGACTACTTTATAACAACTATTTCTCACTTCTTTATAGCTATCTTCTAGTCTATACTCACCAAACAAGAATAGGAGTCATTCAATCTGTGATCCAAGGTCTGCCTCTGAAGCAGTTGAAAGAGGAAAGCATGGTCAAATTTGCAGGGATTAGCAGAAATAAACTCTTCCATGCCATGTTTCTGACCACGGTCTGCATCTGTCCATACAAAGGAGAAGATGTGCAGAGGGGTATATGTTAGTGTGCGTGCAGATTTACAAATGCAAATGTAACATGGTGTATAATTCTGAGTATATAATCTTGAAAAAACTGCAAAGAAACAAGTTACATAGGCAGCTGTTTGCAAGTTACTTCTTACAGAATCCTGTTTTTTAATCTGACACATAGTATTAATTACTTTTCTACTATTATAAGAACCTGTACACTAAAACAGTTTGGCAAAAATGTTCTTTTAGTGGAGCTCTGCAAATGCCACAATTTACAAAACAATTTTATGAGCATAAAAAAATGTGTCCTGTAATTTCTTGCGCTTGTGTGGCCCTTTCTAATTCTAGCAGAATTGCCGAATATCCTTTCCTCCATTAAAAGAAAAAAGAAAAAAAAAGTTTATGCATTTATTTCTAGAGATGAGAAAGAACAAATTTACTGCAGATCAGAGTAGCACTCATAGAAATATTCAACATGGCTTGAAGCCTACTTCTCAAATGGCAAACTGGAGCAGAAATGAACACACTGACTTGAGCTAGGTCATTTCCAGCCTTCTTTTTGTACTCGGCTTTTAATGAGACAAACCTTAATGTAGTAATGGCAAAGAGCTCCTTCAACCTTCAAGCAAAGAGTAGTGAAAAAGGGAGCAGCATTTTTGTGTAAATACACTGAGAAAACATACCATCCCAAATGGCACTTCAATCAAAGGCCCAAATTTATTGTTCTTCACAGATTGCATCTTTCAACGCCTTTAAACCCCGCGGGTTTATCAAAAGAGAAGCTCTAGTGATTGCTTTCATTAAAGCTATGTTTTGTCAAAGTCCTCAATGTGAATTATCTATCAAGTATGGACAGAAAAAGCCTTACAGTGCCCAAAAGGACTAGTTATGTATTAGCACATTAGCTGTCTTGGTTTGTATAGACTGTATTGGGGTGAACAGTCTTATCAACTTAAAAATTGACTTCCCCTTTCAATTGTCTATGCTCTTTGTTCCTTTAAATTCAAACCCAGATCTTTTTATATTCGTTACTAGGAAAGTACAGATCTGAGTGTATCCTAAATGCAATTTTGAAAACCTGCATAGTACAAACCTAAAATTTCTAAAGAAAAGGAGACAAAAGTTTATTGATTAAACCCAATTATAGAGCCAGGTTCATAATAAAACTCAATATTGATCTGTAGGCATGATGCTAACATAATCAGTCACATTTAGAAATTTAGCCCCAGATTATATTGATCCATGTCAAGTCCAACTTTCAGCTGTATTTGTGGATGGGAGAATTATTTAATTCAAGCTGAAGGATCTGCAGCATCACATCTTAGAAAGATGCAGAAACTAATTCATATCACTTGGCTTTGCATTGTCAAAGCAAGAGTCACATCCATGTGACAGATTTCACCAAGGTGAATGTTGCAAATAAACAGTATGACAATACATTGATGGTGTAAGGTATGAAGCTATCATCCCAGAGAAATAACAGCATGTATTTTTAATTGTTAAAGGATCGGTAGCTTATGCAATTACACAGATTAACAACATTTCCATTAGTGATTAGACTAGCCTATCATCAGTAACAGACTTAGGTCATATTTTTGACACAGATGCAGGAAGTGCTCTCTCTTAATTAGAACAATTTAAATATATTAAAACACCTGAATTCGAAGATAAAGTGGTATGGACACAACTACATTACTGAAAGTACTTAACTACAATGTGAAAATATCTGTAGAGTCCAAAATGATACACATATACCTAAAAGATTCCCAGCACAAATCTGATATGTGACTGTTTTCCATATTTCTTACAAGCTTTCCATCTTATATGGGTAATCTGATTTATTGATTCATTATTTAAAAGAAGTGAAATCATAGAAAAGAAAAAAGATTCATATTTACCACTGGCAGCGATCTGCACAAATCAAACACAACTCAATCTTTCTTATTTTAAATGGCTTCAATTTTTTTTTTCCTGTGTTTACTACACACATATAAAAGATTCTCCTTTACAGAAGGAATTTTTTTTGTAAATGCTGAAAAGAAATTAAATCTTTTGAAATCAGACTGGATGTTGAAAAAAAAAACCAGAGACAGCATTCTGGTATTGATATCTAGATGATCTGAATACATAAGGCAACCTATTGAATAAACATGGCTTATGAAAGCAGAATTTTCTCTTAGATAATTTGGGCAAAATAAACAAAAATACTTATTTTTTAAAAATTATATGCTGCATGTAATTCTACAGAAAGATCCACAACTGATTCCCATCATTTGGTGAATTAAACAGAACAAATAGCAATGTCAAACAGTAACAGAATGTCTGATACCAAATTTAGTCTAACAATGGAAAAAGTATTTTAAAACTTACTTTTATTAGTTGGAGGAAAGCAAGAAATAATGGAAAAATAAATCTAATGTAATATTTACATCTTATTTTACTATTGTGATATATATGCAAAAGAACGCACAATCTTTTTGAAATAAAATTGATTTTTGAATAGATTACATGCTTAAATAATTATAAGGAATAAATAAATGTTATAGGAATGTGATTTAAAAATGGCTAGAATAACTGGATTTTTCAGATTCCTATGAGCTGCACATATCCTGTTCAGACTACAATCAAAGGCAAAAGCTGTCAAGAATGCTATTTTGTGATATACACAGGAAAGGATAAGAAAAAAATACATTTCCATCTTCTGAACATTCTCTCAGTTTTGGGAAATATCAGAAAGGAGAAATGGGGACAACTCTGGGACAGTAATACTTCTGCTTTTTAGCAATTAATTCTCGTCTCTTGTTGATGAATTTGCTGTCCTGCTTTCAGTTTCCTCTAACTCAAACTCACAGTGTTGGTTGATACTTGCATGTTATATGGTAAAATCCAGGCTATGCATTTATTTCACAGTTTGGAAGCTGTTAGTCCCAAAAAACTGAGTAACCTAACATTTTTTTTTTTTTTTTTGGTAGATCAAGGTAGATCAAATATCTTTGTTAAAACCACGGTAGAAATTAACAAAAGTTATTGTCTACTTTTCAGCAAACCCTTATTTGTTCTTTTAGACAAGCATATTCAGTTTAGCAGAACAGCATCCTGAATATGCCTTTTGCAGTCTTTGCAAGAAAATTCCACTTTTAGACCAGATACAAACGTGATTAAAAAAAAAAAAATCACCACATCCTCACTGAGTCAATAAAGTTGAGAGAATTAGGACTGAATTAGAATCAAGAACTCCATGTTCTTATAGCACATGCCTCGGTGAGTAGTTCCTATTGATAAACAAATTATCATGTACCATCTCTGTCCCCTTCCAGCCCAGAAGCAAACACAGTTTTCTGTAGCATTTACTCTATTCTAAGGTGATCTGAGAGAATTGGCCTTGTGAAACGTGACCTCCTCCCAGTGAGTTTTAGCATTGTGGAACTAGTTTGAACCAATTCAGGCAGGCAGGAAAGAAGGTAGAAAAGGAAATCTGGAACTGGTTGAATGAAGTTGCACGTGCTCATTGAAAAAGACAGTGGCAAGACATGCATTACATTACTTCAAATGCCACTCCATACAGAGAGTGGCAGCTGATACTGGAAGCACTTCAAATTCTGACCATTGACTAAGACTCCAAAGCACTGCAAGCCTAGAAACATAGGCCAGAGAGAGAATCCCTGCCCCCCAGAACCTTATCATTTACATACCAGACAATAAAATAACAGACCAAAAGTGGAAGAATAAGAGAAAGCAGACTGGCAAATAAGATTGGAGCATGAAGCTGGAGACAGCACAGCGATGAATTACTATCATTTTTCTGAAGGACAGACTTGAGGAGGATACGAGATAATTTTCATAAGTTTTTGAGTAGCATGGTGGAGAAGATGAAGGTGACTTATTGACTTACTGACTGCCTAATGAAGGAGTAGTGGAGGCTGGTGTGACTGATTCCTATAAAGGAGATAGGAGTAGTTGGAGACAAGGGGGACAGGCACAGGAAGGAGAATGGGGGGAACGTGCAGGGAGAATGGAGATATTCCACTCTTACAATTGCAAAGTATACGGTGAATATAAAGATGCAAAACCTGATGAGGAAACTGTAAAATGAGAAGATACCTTTTATACATTTGTATTAAAATGACTGAATAAACCAAACACACACACAGAAACAGCCCAAAACTGTTTTGCAGGAATTGCTTTACAAGCACACTACCAAGCATTCAAAAACCGAGCAATGACACCATAAGGTTAAGCAACAGTATTTCTTGTGTGCACTTATTGTGACACCAGTACCTTAATACTCACCATATTCTGTTTTTCCCACAGAGTCCTTGATACAATCAGTCCAAAGATTCAGAGTGATAAAAATAAAATTTAAAAGTAATATGAAATTCATCATTTTGGGTCTCATTTGTTACCATACCACTGAACAAGAAAGAGAACTGTAATGGTACTTGTTATTGGTTTATTCAAATAGATTGAAAATATCAATCTTATACTTCCATGACTAATCTCAAAGCATTTCTTCATTTGAAAATTTGCTTGCTCTATCTTCTTGATTGCATTACACTGACTGCTCGACAAGGATGATTTAATTGTCCACATAATCTTCCTCAGTGATGTGCCTTTGTTCAGGTGGATGTTTCATTTGGAAATCTCTTCAACTTTCCTGTCTTTGGTTTGACATTTTGTGATACCAATTTATGGCTTTATGTTTGACTGACTTTACTACTTCCTTGCTACTTAATAAGTCAAATTTTATGTTTTATACATGGGATTTAAACAACATTTTTATAACAACTGGTATGAATGGTCTTTCTGAAATCTCAGATGAATTTTTATCTATTTTCTGATGTTCTGATAAGTGACATTATTCCCAAAGAGAGATGAGGAAAATTACCTACCGCAAATCAAATGCTTATTCATCTAACTTCTTTTTTCATTTTCTCTCTTTTCTTTCATGTAGATATTTTCACTCTGAATTCATGGTGGTGTAGGATGAAAATGATGTTTGGCTTTCTGCTGCCTCATTAAGATGTTACAATCCCCTTATGGATCTTTATAATCCCCTTACTTGGTCTTTATGACCAAGCTATTAACAGCAGTCGTCAGTCCATCAGCTTCTCTAACTGTATGAATACAAGTCCTAAATATGCCCATTTTAATCTTTATCAGGATCAGAAATTCTGTCTCTGGAAAAATGATCTTAGTATATCAAACTTGATATTGTACTTGTTTCTTTCTACACCTTTCTTTGTCAGTGTTCCCTAGTTGCAACCACCTTCGTGTAAACACTGTGCCCAAGAAAAAAAGCAACTCCTTGGCTAATCCTCCAGCAGATGTACATGACGTAGAAACATGAGGAGGTGAACACAGTCATCTCCCTGTACGCAGCTTATGGTCGGTTCATTGGAAGGTGAGTGGATGCATTTCTCAGCTGTTGCCCCATCTTTGCTTTTGCAGTGTTGCTTACATTGTACAATGTACTTCACCTTAAAAATCTTTAGTGTGTGGTTATTTCAATCAGCTCACATTAAAAATTCAACAGATACCAGTGTTTTTGTGAGATGAAACACGCTCTTTTAAATGTTCTTTACAGTTCTGTCAGGTTTTTGAATGCTCATTGCTTGGTGTAAACAGCACATTTTACTGTCTTCTAGTAATGTAATGATAAAAGTCTACAGCACGAATAGAAGAATATGAGACTGAGTCACAGAGGACAACTATTTTGAGTCAACCTGCCAAAGATTTCAAACCAGCTTCAACCTAAAAAATGCCTCCTTTCTTTCAATTTATGTATAAGGATTATTGGATAAAGTCACGTCAAACGTTGTTAACATTTAATCACTATTAAAAAATACTTGATTTTTTTTTTAGTTTTCTAGGATAGAAAAGTTGCTCTTTTCAGCCCCTGAAACAATAAAATCATATATGCTCCCTAGGTGCAGATATCTTCATGACATAATAATTTCAAATAGAGCAAATTTTCAAGCTATTGCTTATATGTTACCTACCTTAATTCTCTTTAAAGCAATATTTTTCTGAAAGAAATATGAGAAAAACTTAAAACTTAAACTAGACTTATTTATTTTTAAATTTTTGATATGTAGTGTATTATTACACTGGAAAGTATAAAAAATCTAGTGGCACATCTAGTGCCTTTCAACTCACAATGTACTGCCTACGTTTCAATTTTTAGACAACTAATATATCAATCTATGATAAACCTGATCTAAATCTATAAAATCCTGAGAATAAATTGATGTTTTTCTATTCAACACTACACTGCCTGACTACTGAAAAATATAATATACGCTAAACACCATCTCCATGGTAATATGTGGGTCAACTGTAATGAATACAAAGCTAATTGTCGCATTTTCATGGATTATAATAAAAATAATGACCTCCAAGTCAGGATTTCCCTGGCTGGTAACAATAATTTGAGTTAAAGAGCTTCTGGATAACAACAAATTGCTTGGCAAATTTCCCCAGTGAATGAGTTCTACTTAATTAAACTTCATTGAAGAAGCCCGTACTTACTTTAACAAGTAAAATCAAAACCAAAGCCACACAAAAAAGAAAGCAACTTACAGAGTGGGGATATATCTGCACTGACATCTCCTCCTTTAGGATTCATCTTCTGAGCTTGACTTGCAGGAATAGGCTTATATGATTGACCTGTGGCTCTGTACATTGCTTGAACCCAGAGTATTCTATCTTGCTCATCGTCACTGGCAAATATTACAGTATCTCCTTCTTTAACAGCATTGAAAAACATTCGACCACCTTGAAGACCTGAAGCACGAAAGAAGGAAGGTAATCTTAGTGAGTTACTTCTAGATCACCATCAAGGTTTATAGCATGAGTTAACTGATTTTTCTCTGTGTATGTTTTTGTAGAGGGTGTGTGTTAGATCATTTTATAGGTATTAATGACTGAGAAACAAGATAAAATCTAGAACAAGAGAGATTAAATGGTAATATACATATAAGTAGAATTAACTATTGTTATCAAAAGAGAAAATATTTTCACTATTCCATTTCTTATTCAATTCCAATTTATTTCTTACTCATCTTCTCTGTATCATATTCTATTTCGTATTTCTCCAACATATTCTCTGTCAGGGCACAAGTTTCATACATGGAAGTCTATCTCTTCCTTAACAGAAGCAATTCCATACCTTTTCTCAACCTTTCTGTTCCTTCTTTAGTACCTTTATTCATGGAAGTACTTCATTCTTTGAGTACATAACCAGAACAGCAAGATTCCATGTGGTTGCACCAGGGATTTTTTGTGACATAACACTGCATTGATTTTCCAAATATCTTCTGAGCACTGATAGGCTTTCGAGTTATTCTGAACATTAAGCCAATGTTTTCAAAGACCAATATCCAATTTATTAGAAGTCTCTTAAATTCGTAATCCTCTGGTGCTTAGGTACAACAGAATCCCTTTTATTTACATGAGTAACTTCAACTTCCTTCTGCTGTCATGTTACTAAATTTGGGTGTTTTTTCTGCTATCTGCAATTTTATTTATTTTTTTTTATTACTCTGCAACTGACATCAATCATCTTTTACAAATAATTTCAGAATATGATTCTACAATCAAAACCACAGTTAAAAAGGAAAGACTGACCAGAATTTGTCATTTTTCCTTGTGTCATTATATAGCCCTATAATGTCTCAGGCAACACTAGTGTTTCTTCTGATAGCAAGCTTCTTTCTAAATTCAAGATTTTTCACTCTAGAAAATCTTAAAACCTTTAGGTGCAGAAAAAAAATAACCTTTGTGATTTTCAGCACTAGATCAAACTAGTAATAATAATAATAAATAAAATCAATTTAGCTGTTTCACACAAACATATCATACTTCACAACGATGAAAAATACCTGTGTGAGGAGCTGTATAATCCACAGTGTATCCTTCCAGTTGCATCAGTTCCTGAGGTTCAGACTTCTTTTCTCTGTAACTACACATTGCAAATGTGTATTGGCTCACCTGAATAAGACAAGAATTCTTAATTGCTCAATTCCTTTTCAGAGCTAATGTTTCACAATAACATACACTGCTTAAATTAGATCTCAGTTGCAGTAAAGAAATAAAACATACTTGTACTTTTTTTTCCCTTTCCTGCCAAATGGAAAGAAAAAAAACCCATAAACACATCTCCTTGCAGCCTTCTGAAATACCATATATTGTAGGCTGTTTGTTTTGTGAACAACTGAAAGGAATCAAACTAGGTTCTGCCAGGGAAAATACTTGGTACTAAAGAAACCGCTCATTCTACTGTGTGAGAAAAAAAAAAGGTCCTGTATTTTAAGAACTTTATTTTACATATAAAAATAATTTCTGCAGAAGGACTGCCACAACATTTATAGTGCAGCTGGAAAGACAAACGTGTCTTTGTTCGATGCTGTTCAGTTTGATACTGAACCTTCAGTTTGTTTTTGTAAAGCCTAATATCTGCATCTTCTGCACCTCTGTCATCCTAAACCTCTGTCATCTCCAGGTTGCTCAGCTCACTGTGTACAGTACTGCATTCTGTAACAACATCAGTTACTTCTGATCAAGTGCAATAGAAAAAAAAAAAACAAAAAACAAAAAACAATAAAAAGAGGATTTTCCACCTCAACATTTAAGACTCCACGGACAGATTAGAAAGAAATAAGGAGATCTGAGGAAAACGTGTTTGGAAATACTTGGAGAGGAATCTAACAGCTGGGGGAGGAAAAGCAGTCATTGGCAAAAAATTGAAATGTTGCCAACATTGAAGAGCTGGAAAGACTAAAAAGGGGTGATCAGAAAAAAAAGAGCCTGTGAAATCTGCAAAGACTAGAAGCTTAAAGGAAGTAAAATTACACAGCCTTTAAAACTCCTGTCTCCAGAAACTGCAGGATGCTTGGCCATGTGACTTGCTTTGAACTATTATATCACCTCTTGGATCTGCAAAATTATGCAAGGATACAAGGTCATGCTAGAAGCTTGTCTAACAGACGATGGAGCGTCCTCTGCTTAGTTGTTCACTGCTTAGCTAACAGTTTTCTAGATCTATAGCTCTGGCAACAACTTAAGGAATGATTCTTTTTGACATAAAAAGCTGATTTCTGCTTCATTAGTTGGCACTGTGCCTGCACACTAATCCACCTCAACATCCATTGACTTCAACTGCCACTGACTGAAGGACTTTTGACTCTTTAAAAAAAGATTTATGGAAAATAAGAAGGTATGAGATCATTATCTGCATAATGCACCTCTGAAAATAGCGTGCCATTTTAAGTATTTGAGTTATTTAGTAAAATTCATTTAGAGAATCCCAAAGAAAACAGGATTGTGTCACAGGACAAAGCCTGGCAGTCAGGGCCTGACCCAAGCCCAGTGACCAGCAGGGACTCGAGAGGCAGCAGGACATCCCAGGACCCTGAGCACCAGTCAGCTGCCTGGGATAAGGAAGGTACAGGCTGGGCCAGGCCGTAGCCTCTTCATGGCCCATGGATAGGATGGACGGGTTGTGGGGAGCTGGAGACTGGCCCACTGTGGTGTTGTTGGGTTTGGGAACGATGCCCTGGTGTTGACATTGTGGCCTGGGAACTGATTATGATGGCCCGTGTTGTGGGCAGGGTAGGGGCAGCCCCCAAGGCATGGGGTCATTAAGTGCCTTCAGGAGCTTGACACAAGCTCAGCCCAACCTGCGTCACTCTATCTAGGTCCTCTACCACCTCCAGTACTGCTTGGTATTTCCCTGTTTATATTCTTAAGAATGATATCATGCACAATCACAGAGAGAACACTAGGTAGTCACACACCTCTAAACACTCTGCAGCTATCACTGCCATTCATGTCAGCTCCTTCCTCCCTTGCTGACGGATTTCATTTTTGATTCCTGACGCTGCAGTAAAGCCCTTTTTCAAATTACCCTTCTTTGGTCAAATGAAATAACTTGGCAGTCACATCACCCACATTTTCTTGTCAACAACTGTATATAACCATATTATATGGACACACTGAGCTTTCAAAAATGAAGCCAGCACATAGTTACAATTGAAATGCGTTGGAATCCCATTTTTTCAGATTTTCTTCTCTACTGCATGATTTGAGGATCAGTTTGTGAAAAATCTGGGCTATATGCCTCTGCTGATCTTTAACCTTAGTATTACAGATTACAATGTTGTTGATTTTATTTTTAAAAACAGATTTCAAATGTGTTTTTTTAAAACAATTTACTAAGAAATATTGATATCAAAAAAGCTTACAGTTCATCAAGATATCTGAAAGTCTCTCAGCCAAAGAAACAAACAGAAAAAACTCCAGAAAAAAACTGCTGCTTACATCCAGAACCTCATAAACTTTCTTCCTTATTGTTAACTGTGGCCACATGTAGATATTACAAGGGGAACCATCAGAAACATTTTTTTTAATAGATCTGTGTCCAGCTGCATGTATATTTCTAGTAGTTAATGAAGCTGTATGTTAGAAGTCAGCCAATTATTATCAGTACTTCATGGGATAATGGATATGCAAAATTGTAGCAAAAAAATACAGAACACATTTTCAAACATAATCAAGCCACCTTCTTAAATAGTAATGCTTGACAAGAGAAGAGGAGATCTACTTCCTACAACTGCATTTACCTGAATTTCATAATTTTCCAGAAATTGAAACTCCTAATTTTCAGATGTTTTACCCGATTTATAACGAAGTGGGAAGCTGACAACAAACCTGTGCATTCATGATGGGCAGAGACAGGCAACAGTCTAAAAATGACTTCTGAGCAGTGGTGCTAGGGGATGCCCCCTCTGTGCAGAAAGACTCTGTTCAGTGTGCCAGAAGGAACTCTCACTGCAAACCAAGAGGCTGCCTCTGGTCCCTGCTACAGGACAAATGGGCAGCCCATTTCAGGAGTTCACCTGCTTGGACTAGCCCACATAACTGGGCTGTTTAGAAAACAATTATCTATTAAGCATATAACTTTTCAAATATTACAAAAAAGGAAATTAAAGTGACAAATTAATTTGTGTTTATATTACCGGAGGAAGATCATTATCAGTGGGCAAATTAAAACACAGCACGTCCAGCTAAAGTTTCTTACCTACCATGTTATATCCCTGTCTTTTTCTAGTTTAAAATGAACAGCCATTTAGAGAAATGACTGGAAAATAAAAGGAAGAAAAGCAAATACAGTGAGGAGGTTATTATTTCCAGACTCTGTAACCCTCCTCTAACATCAAGTTGTTCTTTCACACATCACTACTAATTTTTAATACATATAGAAACAACAAAGATGCACATTATGCACTCTCCTGAAAAATCAACATTACTCATCTAGTTTCACACCCGAGTTAATTTTGCAAAGCATGAGTAAATCATACCGATAGCTTCCATCTTACAACTGAATTTCTTGCCCTTAATATTTACCAACAGCAGCTAAAAACTAATGTAGAGGAAGAATCATCAATAAATCTATGATATATCAATACAGCAGACTGATATTCATTACTGAATGTTTATTTCACATGTATTGACTTCAGCTTATTGTCAGTGTGTGCGTAGTGTAGATTATATAAATGCGCCAGATCTGCCTGGACAGTAAATATTGATCTAACACGGTTCTTTTGATACAGCCTTATCGGGTTGGTAGGTACTTTAAAATGACACAGGTGACCAAATCCCATCACAGTTGGAAAATTCCTGTAATATTCTTCTCTTCCAGTACTTCAGTTCCAGCATAGGAAGCAGAAGACAGCCAACATTCACTTAGATGTTCTCCATGTCACACACAAAAACATGGGTCTCTTAGGTGTGTGCCTCGTTAATACTCAGGTGACACCTGTGGTTTGGAGGGAGAGGACAAGGTCTTTCTTTTCGTGAAAGGGAGGATGTGAAGTAGGAACAGTGTGAAATAAGAGTATAAAGGACAGGGGAACACTCCAGTCTTTCTTTTTTCCTTCCAAAATAACTTCAAAAAGTTATTTTGTCTTCACATCTGTCCCTTAGCAGCTATCCTATACACAGAGCTTAACAGCCTTTGCAAATCTTACTGAAGTCACCACAAGTTCTCATCTATACTCAGAAAATCTGTATGCAAAAAATCTTGGTAAGATCAGAATCAAAAATTACTTTCTGCTTTTCCACATGATCTTAAACTTTATAACCATTACTCAAATAATTATGATAAATCAATATGGCCTCAAGTCGTGGCAGGGGAGATTCAGGTTGGGCATTATGAAAAACTGGAAGAATGGTCAGGCTCTGGAATGGGCTGCTCAAGGGCGTGGTGGAATCACTGTTGCTAGAGGTGCTCAAGAAACACTGAGATGTTGTACTGAGGGACATGGTTTAGTGGGAAATATTGCTGATAGGTGGACAGTTGGATGGGATGGTCTTAAAGGTCTTTTCCAATCTTGATGATTCTGATTCTATGATTCTGGGATCAATATACAAGCCAATTCCCATTGCAGCCAGGGAGAACACAAAAACATCAAGCTTCGCAAGAATAAGTTGCAAACACACTCAGCTTTTAGCTTTACTTTGTTAAAGATCTTCATGATATAGGAGTAGGAAAGAGACCAGCAGACTATGACTTGACAGAATGGTAGAAAAAAGAGTCAGGCTTTCTATAAAGCATTCTTAGAAGCCTTCATTCCTGTTAACAGGCATCATCTTTTGTATAATGTTATGGGAGACTAACACTTAAACATTTTTCTGACAGCAAAATAAAGGACACATGGAAGAACAGTGTCTAAAAGAACATCAAAATTCTAACTGCCATCTGAAGACAAGTATAAGCAGAAAATATTCACCTTTCCAAAGATTCTCAGAAGTTGTTTATTTTTCAATTTTGACAACTCAAATAAAATCCTAATGTATTAGTCTCATGTTAATGTTGACATTCATTAGCATGTGAAAACACAGCTCAAGTTATGGACTAAAGGTTATGAACCATCAGTCCAGCACATTTTTTTGGCCAAGAAAAAATCCTGCACTAGAGTTTCTGTGACCAGTAAGTATAACCATTAATTTTAAATGCAGGAAATTCTTGATGAAATGGAATACAGAAAACTGTAAGTACAATCCACTTAAAAAACATAACTATTTATGTTAAATTGAGTGTTGACAGAAAGTCATTGGTAGAATATTTTAAGGTTGCAACAATTTTATTCAGAAATTTGTAGGCTACACTTGAAATATTTCTCAGTGTAGGGACTGATTTATATAAATAAAATTTTATATTATGTAAAACTCAGCGGCATTTCTGATTACTACAAATGTGTGCATAAAAAAATACATATACTCTAGGAAGCCTGTATCTCATAAGAGGCTAGGAATTAGCAATGAACATAGTGACTTATAAATGGCTCCAGACAGCATACATATGAGAATAAATACGTTGCAATGAAATTTCATGGCAGCCTACTAACCTGAACAAGCACAAAGTAGCGCTTTTTCCACCGCTTCCACACCTTTTGTCCTAGAGCATACAAATATCTGGAAAGGAAATAATAAGGAGAGCAGGTTTTTTTTTTTTTCTATTAATACTAAGCATGATATTAGGAGGATGCAACGCTTACAAGTGTATTCACCATACCTGCCAAGATTCTTCTCATAGTTGTCACATGACTGTGACAGCAATGTGATCTTTTGTGATTTCTTTTTCTGTTTCACTCACAAGTAGCCTTTTAATAATAAAACCAAAATGCAGAAACAAATGATCTGTGTAAGACTACCCAGCTCATCACTTACATTTTACCAATTGCCTATGAAAAATACCTTGAAGTAGAATAATTTTAGTTCCACCAAAATACTGAATATTAGAAAAGTTAAATTCCCCAGCAGTTTTTTGGTACTTAGTCTCCATAGATTTCCCAGTGTTTCTCTAGCCTATGAGAAGCCAGTCACAGTGTCAACTTGGGAAAATGCTTAAATAAAATGTTAGCGAACAGGATTCTTATTTTTTCCAGAATAAGCTTCTAATTTCCTAAACATAAGAACTTGTAGATATAAAAAAAAAAAAGAGTTCTCATCACCTTGGCAATTTTTAGGCTACAACAATACAATCAGGAACACTGAACAGTGGTAAGATAAAACCAAACATGCTGATACTGTTTGCTGCCAGAGGAAGCATGCAGATGCAGCGAGTTTCATAGCACAATAACATTTTTTTTTTCTGCCATTATGGTCGTGTTGCACTATTATTAACGAAAGCAAGGGGAAAAGGATGGGCAGTGAACTTGTTAGAAAAAGTCTAGGAGTAGTAAAGACAAGCTGCTTAAAGGATATGAGACACCTCTTCAGGCTGGCCAATCTCACTGAAGTGCATTTAATACAACTAGGTGGGCGAAAGGCAGACTCATATTGTTATCAACAAACATCCTGTATTATGGAAAAGTTATGATGACCATGATTGGAGCTGGTTGGGGGGATGGTTGGTGGGTGGATGGGTACCTTCTGGGAAAGATGAGAGAGACTGGTGCTCTCTACTTTCAAAAGTCATTTGGAGCTCTGCTGCCTTGAGATATTAAACTCAGTGTCAAAAAACAGTGATCAGTCAACCACTCACATGAGACACATGAGTAAGATGCAGGCAAAACCCTTTTTATGCCTGTCCTGGCGATAAATCCAACACAATCTTCCCCTGCTTTAGACACCACAGAGAAAGAACAAACTTTTATTTAACATGAACATTCAGCATAATGCTTCTCATTAACTATGGTGGTTTCTCAAGTTAATTACTGTCTTTCTCATTACTGCGACACAGACATTTTGCCCTATGTAGTTTTCCTATAAGAAATACTAGACATGGTTCTGCAGTACAGGTAGAACTGTCACAATCTACACCAAATTCATAATCATAAAAAAGGAAAGGATACAAAACAAAACAAAACAAAACAAAAAACCAACAACAGAACAATGTGCACTTATTATTCTTCCTGTAAGCTGGAAGTGATTTCATTTCCAGTTAAGGTGTTAAATAATATCTTTCTTGGGAAACAAAGCACAGGAACAGTAATAACATTAATATAAGCTGTCTTAGATAGGGTTAGGTAACAAAGAAAAGAGCGCTCATGACACAGAGCTGGCATTTGGTACAGAAGTTCACAGTGTTATGGCACTTCATTTGGTAAATCATTATAAACTCACAGCTATAACCTTCTGTTACTAATTCCTCTCCAATGCCAGCTCTAGCGGGGACAGTATTTTCTGGTGAAGAAAGTTTCAGTCATTTACAGGGGATATGTCCAATGCCCATTTCAAGTGTACAAGATCCTGAAATATTAGGAGACTAATATTTAATTTAAATCTCAGGTTTATACCCAGAAGGAACCGAATTCCTAAACTTCTAAATCCTATTTGAGATTCTCTTTTTTACTGAAATAAATGGGAAACAAAGGACCTAAGAAAGCTGTTAAATTTGGACACCAATATCCAGGATCCGTAGAAACTGCAGTTCATGTATAGAAAAGTCTATGAAAGGTAGTTCATGGAATTAAACTTAAGTGTCACAACTAGACCAGAAAATGAAGAGATTAACAGATTCACAGGTAAACTAAGTCCTATACCTAAGTTTAAGAATGTTTTAAGATGAGAAGTTGCATCTTCTTTCACAGGTCTCGGTTAAATGTCACACAGCACAGCAGCGGCTCATGGTCAAAAACACACAGAGCTGCAGCTTGCTATTTCTCTACCTGTATGAATATCCATATTCACCTACAGTCTTGCTCACTTCCTCCAGCCAAAAAAGAGTGCAAAAGATGCACAGCATTGTTTGTTCAGATTATTTTAAACACCCTCAGTGGCACTAATAAACACACAGCAGCTGCCATTTCTTCAGATGCTGTGTCTGTCTCTACATGCAGCACCAAGAAGCAGCTGATACTCAGAAGTAGCCAATACCGTTTTCCTAAAAATTAATCACATAATTTGCTACAATTTTCCTGTCTTCGATTTAAGTCATAAAGTTGGGACCATCAAAAATATTTTTTTAATTACTACAGTTAAGCCATACACCAAGAAGAAAGATGTGGTGATGATTTTCCTGTATCTGAGCTCTAGGATAGTAATTGCTTATTACTAAAAGAAAATATTTTGAATTATTATTATTATTTTTTTCTATAGACAATGTTTTGCAGCTTTTTCAATGAGTTAACAGACAAGATGTTGGAAAGGATTGGTTTTCTGATGTCCATAGCAATATGTAAATACTTCTATTCTGTAAAAAAACAAACAAACAAACCCAAAACATTAATATTGTAATAGATATGTATATGCAACACCTATAATGGTATAAGACACATTAGAAAGTATACTGTTGGGATTTACATACTTGGTTGTCGTACTTCTTCAGTGTTCGTATTACTCACACAGTTAGCAGTAATTTAAGACCACTACATCTGCTTTTCTACAGCACAGAGAAAACAGGATCTTATTTGTGTATGTTGAGTCACTATTTGCTACACCAATGTAAAGATTTTAAAACCATTTTTCAGACACTATCAATATTCAACCAAGTGTGCAAACCATGCACTCACCTTCCAAAGACTTACGCTGTAGAAAACAATCCTACACTTTTTGTTTTATGAACATGATTTAATATTGCCTTCTTTCTTTTCCCTCACTCACAAATCAAAAAATAACAGTCTGATCAGCAGTAAGACACAGATTTATCTGATTATGCTTCACACTACTTGCACTTCCACAGAAAATGAAAGTCTAATATTTAAAGTTCATATTTTCTGGGAAAGAAAAAAACTAATACTGTTGCTACAGCCAAGTACACTTGGATTACAATGTTTCCTATACCAACTTCTCTCTGTCAGTATCACTTGTTACTCAGGAAGTAGAATAGGTAAAATCAAACAGAACAATCTCTGAACAGAACACATTTTCTTATCAAAGTCTGACCATCATTTTAAATATGTAAGGGTTGAATCTTTTTCAAAGTGCATTCCCTTGTGTTACAAAAAATTCAAAACCACATCACTAAATATTATCGTTCAGTTTCAATTAAGTGGTGGCGTAGACAGGAAAGAAGATGGCAGCTTATTTGCTCTACGCCCACACTGAAAGAGTGCAGGCTTCTACTTTCTGATGAAAAAAATCAGCGCTAATGAAAAGCTGAAAAACATAATTGAGTGTGGAATACTGGAGCTATTCACTGCTGGAGAAACGAGAAAGGACTTATTACTTCTACAGAGATCATTTTTAGACGAGCCTTTTTATTCCAAGGAACGAAGCAACCTATCTACATCTTGAATGCTAAATTCTCTACTTGTAAAAAGCTTCATTTATCACAAACAATGAAAAAAATATAGAAAGAAAAATCAATAAGCGTAGCAGTTTAGTCCAGCAAAGGCCTTTCTTAAAGAGAAACCTCAGTCAAGGTTGAAAGAGCAATTAATGCAGTCTCAAAAATCTGGGCCATTCTGATAGAGTTCGGTTAACATGTGGCAGAAGTAATCATCCACTTGTGAAAATGATTTTCAGTTCATTCTCAAACACCTTTCAGACACTCATGATCCCATTTAGCTGACAACAATACAGGCTATCTGTGGGCATCATTGCATTCAATGTGAGAACCAATGGGGACCAAATGCCCACAGGCACTTTCAGTCATCCCTGCACGCCTGCATAAAAGGAATCTTCCTTGCACCGCATTCCTTCTTTTATTTAACCCCACAAGATTAAGCCATTTTTTGCCTTCAGTTGAGGACGAGAGAGAAAACTGATTCAAGACAACAATATGACCTGGGTCATAAGAAACCTAGCGGTAAACATTCTCGGATTCATTTTAGTACCTTCTGTGCTCTTGAGAAAGAGAACTAAATAAGCCTTCAACAGATGGAACGAAAAAAAAATCAGCCTAAACTTCTATTGTAATTATGATTGCTTAGGATATAGAAAACTTGAAGAATGTCAAGTAATACAAACACCCCAACCACAGCAAACAGTTCCATTTATTCCAATGAGCAAGATACTCATAATATGAATAGAAAAATGAGCTTTTTTATTTTTTTCCTCCTAAACAACTTCTCTCTTACAGTATAAATGGATATAGATATGCTGGAATATCAGATATCCTTAGATTCTTTAACAGTGATAACTCAATGCACTCTAAAGAGCTTCAGCATTTGTGAATATGCATACCAGTACTTACGGAGCTGCAAAGTAACTGCAATGGCAACTTGAGAAATACTGATCTGGCTCATGTCATATTGTGAAATATGTTTGGTATGTAAAGGGAGAATGTTTATCAAGACAAAAAAAATATCCTTTAGCCTTGAGAGAATTCCAGGTAACAAAAGAATGATACTGTTCAGACACAATGCAGGAAGTGCTCTAATTCTGAAGTAATGTAATTGTAATATGAATAGGTAACACAGCACAACTGTGGGACACCCACTCTGTATTTTTTTATGAGGCTTACTTTTGAGCAGAACTATCCTGATCCCAGGGACCAAATAACAGTGGTTGCAACATCTGGGGGCAGT